TATCGTAAAGGCCATGGCACCATATATAGAAATAGTAGATATATGATTCAAAACATTCAAGACGAAGAGATAAGCAGAGAGGGAATGACAGATGACAGGGTCTGTTTCCATCATTTGTGATATAAGTCTCTCACCAGCAGTCATTCAAATAGTAGCTTCCTGCTGTGCTGTGGTAAATCTTAAGGTTATCAGATAGTTGGCAGGTATTATGAGGAAGGAATAGTTATTTGTTTAACTAGGCAGCAAAGTAGTAGATTGACTGCCGAGGCTGAATTCATAGCCGAGCGTAGCGAGGCTAGGAATCCAGCTAAGGCAGTCAATCTACTTTGCTGCCGAGTTGAACATATAATTTTTTCTCCGATTGTTCATAATGATATATATCTCTTTATTTTTCCTGTAGTGTTCTTAAGGTTATCAGATAGTTGGCAGGTATTATGAGGAAGGAATAGTTATTTGTTTAACTAGGCAGCAAAGTAGTAGATTGACTGCCGAGGCTGAATTCATAGCCGAGCGTAGCGAGGCTAGGAATCCAGCTAAGGCAGTCAATCTACTTTGCTGCCGAGTTGAACATATAATTTTTTCTCCGATTGTTCATAATGATATATATCTCTTTATTTTTCCTGTAGTGTTCAATTAAAATAAAATTTGATAGAAATCGCAGTTGTTGGAATGGTTGGTTGCTATGGAAATGTCCATAATAATAATTATAGTTTGACAATTCATGAAATTTCTGACAGTTGTGCGAAAAAATATCGGTATATTTAAATTATTATATAATGGACAGTGATAGCGACCTGGAAGTACTTAAACCTCCAGAAATAAGGGGGGTGGCAAGAAATATAGAGTTGAATTTGTTGCCGGAGAAGTCTCGGATGAAATATGAAGGAAATTATAAACGATTTATGGATTATTAATTTTGCTGATACATATCAATCAGCGAAGAAACCACTTTGCTGCCTAGGCAGCAAAGTACCCATTTTGCTGCCTAGGCAGGAAAAGTAATGCTTTGCTGATTGATATGTGTCAGCAAAATTAATGTTTGCTACCAATCGGAGAAAAAATATATTTTCTGTATGAAAAAGGAGCCCACTTTTAACCTCGTTCATCCTTTCAAAAAATTGTGATACTTAAACAAGCCAACACACGATATTTCTTCTTTCTTCATAGATGAATCTTTCGAGTAGCTTGATGATTCAGTGGACAGTCCATCTGACTTCCACAGCGGCAGATCGTGTTCAACTCCCTGCGAGGAGTCGATTTTTTTTTTCTCTCAAATAGTTTTTTGAAAGAATGTACTTTTCAGGAAGAAGGTTCATTTGGGCCGAGAGGTCTCCTTACCTTTTTAGTAGGTACCCAATTGAATTTTATAGGAACATTTATATTCATTTCGTTTTTTTTTTTAATTTTTCTGATTAAATAAAGTGCTCTACTACGGATTTCTAATGATATTATAAACTAACTGAAAATTAGGAAATATGATAAAAAATGTCGCTAAATCATTGAAAAAGTCGCTAAATTTTCAAAAATTTCGGCTGTGGCAAGCTTTCTGCTCGCTTCTCGCTGTGAGGACTTTTTTGGTGACTGTGAAATGAGATGTTTATAAACATCTCACTGTGAAATTTCATGTTCAGCAGCTGGCAACACTGTTCACATTCCCAATTTCTAACCTAACTTTTGTTTGCCTTTGTTGTGATTTGAATTAAGATACTGTCTACACGACCGCCGCGGCGGTTGGATGCTGATTCATAAACGACCGCCGCGGCGGTTGGATACTGATACATAAACAACCGCCGCGATGATATTTCTTCCTTCTTCATAGAGAGTACTTCCGAGCAAAGCGATAGCTCAGTTGAAAATTCACCTGACCACCACGCCTGTGGCTCGGGTTCAATCCCTACTAGGCCTTATTTTTTCAAATAGTAGATTGTTTTATTAGGATCAAAAGTGACACTTTGTTTGACAAGCGAATTTTGCATTTGCGAGGCGGAGCGTTTAGCGAAGCCGAGCGAAAGCAAAATTTGCGAGTCGAACAAAGTCACTTTTGATCCGAATGAAACATGCTATTTTTTCTGCAACCGAAACAATTAACTCAAATAAACATGTGAAGTAACCACCAATGCCGTGCCATATGTATGCAATGCAACAAATATTGACAAATAATCCATGTGGTGAGAATATTCTACCTGCATTAACAGCAGGTTAGGTTTTCTAGGATGTTCGAATTGTAGTTTCAATATAAATACAATCACAGAGTGACATATTCGTGTATGGACCAGGTGCTCTAATGGCAAATACCGCGCCAGTGCCAGCTATAGGAACAAGTGGAAAATTTTAGGTTAGTGAGCATATAGCATATCAACAATGATAATAGTGATTATTTATTCGCCTCCATACTACACTGTGTTTGACTTGATGATCAAATGAAGCTAAACAATATCGTTGTTTGAGACAAAAAAACTATTGCTTGCCGTGATTCAAAAACAAGTTAAGCGGCGTTCACAACCAAACTTTTTACGTTTTGCTTTTTACGTTTCGTATTCTGATTGGTGAAGCAGAATCTGAAATTGAACGTGAACTAAACCTATGCAAATGTCATTCACAACAACAAAAAATCAACGTGACTTTTTATGGCTCAGAGTTGCCTTGGTTTTTTCATTTGTTTTTCATCCTGAAATGAATTAAATAATCATAACAATAATAAATAAATAATAAATCAGATGATAAACAATATTCATAGAACTGGCGGTGAAGAAAATTGTTCCTTATTCAATAATTGAAGAGAAAAATCAAACTTCAACAAGAAAATAATGAATTGAACAGTATACCTATCTACTATTCTGTGGATTCACAAAAAAATCATGAAAACATTATCATAACTTCCATATTATTATAGAATGTTCCATATAATTCGTCTATTTTTACTATTTCCACAGACGATGGCTTCTTTGCAACGCAAAAAGCTGAATATTTTCAGCTTTTTGCGTCATTTCAATTACAGATTTTGCTTAACCAATCAGAATACGAAACGTAAAAAGCAAAACGTAAAAAGTTTGGTTGTGAACGCCGCTTTATCCATATCCCGAGAATAACGAATGAAATACAGATCAAGGAAGTATTTGAATCTTGAAGGCTTCCCTGATCAAAACAAAAATACTTAACTGAGATGTTTATAATTCCAATACTAAACTATAATAAAGTGTATTTATATCTCCAGCATGGGTATGAAATGCCAAATCTGCTGAAATCGGAAACAAATCGGGTATGCGTCTCAACCCAAATAACCTAAACCGTCACAATGTTGTTCATCCTTAATGACGTCCAGTAGATCCTTTTTAGTTCCTAGGAGCTAAAGTTGAACTTTTGCTCCTGGAACTAAAATTCAACTTTAGCTCCTAGGAACTAAATATGTTGCCTAGCAACATACCTATTTTTGTGTCAGTAATAGAAACGTCAATTTAAGAGCTGATTTTGGTATCATAATGGATGACTTTTGTGTCGGTTGCAGAAAAACTTTTTTTTACAAATAATTTCTCGAAAAATATACTTCTCAGGAGAAAGGTTCATTTAGGTGAGTTAGGTCAGTTTGTTTGAAAAAAGTAGTCTTCTTTTTGATGCAGAAACGATATTTTCCTTCCTCATGTCTCACGGCGGTCTTCTATATAAAAATAGGTAACCGTCGGCGGTTGTTTATGTTTCAGTATCCAACCGCCGCGGCGGTCGTGTAGACAGTGCCTTGAATTGAATGTTAAAATGGAATTTGTTGATGATTATGAACATAATAAACCTGGAGTATTCTATTTTTCAAGATGTATTTCCACTGAAGAAGCCGAAAAACTGTATGATTACAATTTGAAAGGATGTGAGTGCCAATCAAAATGTGAAGAAAAAATATGTACTTGTATTCTAAGAAGTGGTACATTCTACAAATTTGAAGACATATCCGATCTCGAGAAATACAAGGTCCGCGAAAAATGCAGGAAGTCACCAACTTATGAATGTAACAACAACTGCAAGTGTGACAATATCTGTGGAAACAAGCTAGTGCAATTTGGGCCTAGAAAGAACCTAGAAGTTAAAATGTGTAAGGACAGGAGGAAAGGTCTTGGTTTATTTGCTAAAACAAGCATATCACCTGGAAATTTCATCTGTGAATATGCTGGAGAAGTGATAACTGGAAATGAAGCAAAACAAAGATTTGAAGCATACAAAAAGCAGGGAGAAATGAATTATATTTATTGCATCAATGAAAAGTTTGGGGAGAAGGAACAAAAAACATACATTGACCCAACTGTTTATGGAAACATAGGAAGATATATCAACCACAGCTGTGACCCAAACTGCCAGCTAATTGTTATTAGGGAAGACAACACCATGCCAATTTTAGGAGTTTTCGCAAATAAACATATTCCAGAAAACAGTGAATTGACTTATAATTATGGTGAATCAACTAATGACTCTCAATGTAGTGAAAAGAAACCATGTTATTGTGGTAGTGATATATGTAGTGAATTTCTTCCATTAGATACAAGTGTATAATCAGGAGAAAGAATTAACAAAACTAGGAGTAATTAGTCTAAATTTTGATTGGAGAAATATATGTTATTTCAAGATTCCCCTGAAAGCATTAAGAGAGTGGTTTTTTTATAGCTCTACAAAGATGTGCACCAAGTTTCCACTGTTGTATTCATCAATCATTATACTTGGTTTAGAATAGGAATAAGGAAAACATGTAGGAACAGGTGTCACTTTTTCTATGATATTTGAATTTTGAAATTATAAAATATTTCTTCAAAGGAGTTCCTCAACAAGCACAAATCAGAACCATAATATAAGTCTGTTGTTGACCAATCTCAAGAATTCTAACCAATTGAAATTGCACATATAATCCTATTTAAATTCAATGAAAACTTTTTCTCATAAGCTGTTGAAATATCATGTTAATTATTCTTCTTCTTTTTTTGTGAATTAACACTCTTGAAACTACTATTACTACTACTTACAGCTGATTTATAAAATTCTGTTAGGTCCTCACAAGGAAAGACAATGTTCAAATTTCTCAGATCTTTGACTGGTGAAATGTACACAGCAGTCTTGAATTGATCCTCTCCATAGGGATGTTCACTCCATTTAGGTTCCACTACATTTTTATTAGAAACTGAGGAGAATAACTCTACAACCATATTTTCCAACTCCTCAAGACTCTCTGAAATAATTGAAAATCAAAATTCATTCTATTGTGACACTATTAGCTGTTTTTACCTTTTCCTAGTACTGCCAGACACATTATATTTGAAGAATACCACTTATCATGAAATTCCAACAATTTATCTCTCACATTGATATTATTAGCCTTTGGAAGTGTTACCAATGTATGATTGTTTCCTTGAAATTATTTCCAGTAAAAAATATGGGATTGTTACTGAAAATAAATATGTCCTACCTGTTCCAAAGGTGTTATATGGATGTTTTGGGTTTGACAAGTGTTTATCTAGTTGATCAATTCTCCATACATCACTCTGTATATTTTTATCATGCTCTGAATTCACAGCATTCAACTCTCTATCAGTGGCAGTCTCAGTGAAAAGTGGAGCAATGAAAAACTGTGAAAACCTGCAAAATTTTATCAAAGCTTCACCTGCACACTTTGCTAGGTTTATTCCATTACCTATCTAGGGCTTCATTAAGTTTGTCAGGTACTATATCAAAATAATACAATGTGTGATCAGGATATGTAGCAGCATTACTACCACCTCCATGTTCACTCAAAAATTTGTTGTAGTCATTTTCATTGGGGTACTTTTTGGTACCCAAGAACAACATATGCTCACAGAAATGGGCCAATCCAAGCACTTCCTTAGGGTCTGACAAGAAACCTTGAAAATAAATCCATTGATAGCTACCCAAACAATGATGGGAAAATGCCTACCAACATTGACATCCATTGCAGCTGATGATTTATCTGTGTTTGGATCGCTCACCAGCAGAACTTTCATATGATTAGATAATTCCAAACCTCTGTACAATCTCTTGTCTTCTCCAGATTTGGTGATATTATCAATTCTTCTCAAAACCAAATTAGATAGGTTGTCCATTTTTGAAATTGATTGTTTTGCAGGGCCCACAGTACTATATTATTTGAATATGAAGAATTGTGTTTTGTATTATTATTATTTATCATCTAGAAATTACCTACCAAAACAACAAGATTGTGGTGGGTGTATGAATACTGGTAATTTTTTTCAAAAATACCCTGGACTGATTGACGAACTGCATTCAGGAATTGATAGTATTTTCCTCAAATAATAGCATTCAAATTCCATGCAATTGATTCTTATGAGAAAAATACAATAATTTTTAAGTGGTCTATTTTAGTATTTCAATACTTTATTCAAAATCGCTATATTATGACAATTGTCATTGTCGACATTTGACAGAAATGAACATAAAAAGTATGTACTAGATATGAAAAATTGAACTAGATATCTAAAATGGTACTAGATTAGGATTTCAGCATTAAAACAAAAATGGCGCGAATGTCTATTTTAAATTGAGGTCATTGGTCTAAACATGATGGTTTGGAATCGTGAAAAATACAAGGTGTTTCGAAATTCGATGTAAATATTTCAAGGACATATTGTTGGAGTCACAATATGACTTTTTCTTCATACAAATATATGATTATTGTGCCCTAAAATGCAACCATTTCGAGCTACAGTCACTGGAAGTTCGGTAAAAAAAAAGATTATCTGAAATTGTGACTAAAATAATGGATCAAATCTCCTAAAAATTGGAATTCCCTTGTATTTTCACACTAATATTAATTGCCTTCTTGCTTCAAGAATGATGTGAACCAGTGAACCCATGTTTAGGGGGATTGATTGCGGTTATTTGAAACTATTAGAAAGATACAGCTAGCAGGGCCTCTATAAATAATCATGACATGATAGTGGCCGTTGAAATAATTTATTGATTTGCCGCTTTCAACACTTATGGAGAACGAACTGTACAACACTTTAGGTCGCTTCAATAATGCCTGGTAAACAAAACAATAAGCAGTCACGGTCATTTATAGAAACCCTGTTTATTATTCACGTTAAAAATTTCCGTATAACCAATGAGTGTGACAGAGAAGAAAGTTTCGATATTGCACCGTCACATCCATTGAGCATATATGGAAACTTATTCGAACACAAATATCTCCGTAATAGTTTGAAATCAAATCCGGTGTATCGTTGAATTCGTTATGATAATCTCTAACTGATTATGAAATGAATTACATATGGTTTCAAAATCGAACTAAAAGTTGATGTCATTTCGCCAGGAGAAACGGAAGAGGAAAAATATTCCTAAAATATGATGAAGTAGAGCAGTAATATACACCTTATCATTGCCTACAGTGAGCATATATTCGATGTTCCAGATTTCAGAAATAGGTATATATTGGAAAAAAATCAGAAATATATATTAGTTAAAAAAAAAGAGAAATATAGCTAGAAAAACAAAGGAGTAAAGGGCGGGTATACCATATGAGTCTCTGTGTCACCCGGTTCACCCCTGTACTAGTAATTTTTTTTGTGCTGTAGGTTTTGTCGAATTTCACACATTTTTGATCAATTTTCTCACTTACAATTACACGAAAGTTTTTTTGTCGAAGTAAACTTGACATTTCAATGATAGATTTGCTACCTGCAAATTAATCGAAAAAAATTGCCTTCGAAAAAATTACCAGTCCGTAGTACGAGTAATTTTTTATGACAGTGATTATGAAATCACCTATCAAGTGTTGTCGGTAGAATTTCGCAACACCCTCTGTATATATATAGGTTCCGTTTTGTCGCTGGAAAACTTAGGGAAAAGTTTTTTCGCTATCTTAATGACAAAATCACAGCGACTTATGGGTATTTTATATAAATGGGTTAAATTGTCAAGAAAATATATTATTGTTAAATATTTTTTACTGCTACATATCAAAATACTGATGTGCGAAAAACGCGATAATATACGGGACAGCTCTGTATATTTTACAATGTATACATATATTTTATGTTAAACCATTCTTGATGAAATATTGTTTGTACGTTCATTGATATATAGATAATTTATTAATTTATGAACCTATATATATTATGTATACTCACTAATTTTTTTCTGAAGTATATCGTGATTCACAGTGTTTACATAATGCACTGAAAAATTATTATAAATTAGTATGTACCTCCTCAAGGTAAGAAAAATCATGAACACTTACATCATAATAACCAGAAAAATAATTATTGTTGTATTTTTAGACGTGATGTTTATTGAGGAAAAGACCATCACAGAATCTATGAAGAAAGCTACACTGGTGAAACAGTAACAGTATACTGATGTGGACAAATCACAAATCATAGGTATATTTTATTTTAATCTCGATATATGAAAGTTTGATACCTATAACTCTGCCTCTAGAGATACCTACATCGAATCACCGGAAGTAAAACGAATCTATAGAGAATTCAAAATGAACCATGAGCAGACACATTATATAGTCATCATCGTTTCTCGATCCTGTGGAAAGCCTTTCATACGAAAACATATTTGGTCGAGACATTTAAACGTTATTTAGATGGATTAGGTACTTATTATGGAACACATATTATAATTGCTAGTTGGCTATTAACATTTTCGATAAGATGTAGAGAAAGCGACCACATTTTTCTACATATACGGTTACGAGGGGAGTACCATAACATATTTGACTTATAATTTCTAGCTATAGAGGCATGTGTATATAGGTATATAGGTACTACGAATATGAATGATAAAGTTCTATAAAGATGAACAGAAAAAAAACATGGGGATGCAATATGAAAAATCAAAGTTAGGGGTGGTTTCAAGTGAATTGTTTGACATAAATGCTTCGACACAATTTCTTTGGAGAGCTTTTTACTTCCATGAATTTTACAATTTTGTGTTTAGATAACCCAGATATCTGATGATGCTGGCCAAAAAGCTAGTATAGATGGTGAAATTATATATAATAGAGGGTGTTCACGAAATTGGGACAATATAATTACTAAAAAATTGTTTTGAAGTTTTGCAAAAAATGTGTGCTTCCAGCGGTTTACTACATATCTTTCATCATAAAAACTCATTGTTGCTGCATTGGTGCTTTTGATGTGATTTCTCGCTGAAAGCGAACGCTTATTATTGTGTTGGGCTGTTATGTATCCTCTGATCAATATGATTTTCAAAACTTTCAGGCAAACTTATAGAAGCTCAATATCTTCCAAAATATTTTTTTGATAACATTATAGCTAATTTTTTGTTTCGTTTTGTTTTTTCGTCATCAATTATCATTCATTCATAATTTATTACCTCCATTTCGGAAACACCCTCTGTAGTTATTTGATCCTCAACTTGTAATATAACGTGTCTTTCATTTTATTATTTTCATAGTACTTATTCGAGATTGTTTGGTCTTGTTCGACTTGTTATAAAACGTGTTTTTCATTTTATTATTTTCATAGTACTCATTTCTGATAATTCGATTTGTATTTACTTATTATTCGAGATTGTTTGGTCTTGTTCGAAAAGATCTACCTGAAAGAAATATATATAATGTAGTGAGGGATGAAAACATTAAAGAAAGCATTGCCTTCAAATAATAATAATTACCATGAGAAATGAGAATTAGGATCACATCATGCACCGGTAAGTAAAACTTTTCGGTTTCCCCTTGTATATTATATATGCGAGTATCGCAGCGTAAGTACCATGTGCGTTTATGAAATATTAAGGTATAGGTATCCAATATAGTATCCATATAACAGGCTATCTATAGAGGTATATATATCTATATATACCTAACGGAAAAATACTATTTACATATTTATTATAATATAGAGTAAATAGTGTACAATATTATTTAGGAGGTATATGTGACTATATACAGGGTATTCCATTTGAAATATATTTATAAGTGTACGGGAGAGATCTCAGAAAATATACAGTGTGTGCTCATAATTATAGACAATAATAAGGATGAAGAGCATGAAAATCTCTGCAATAGCAAGAGTTACACAGAATAAGGTCAAATGGGAAGAGAGTTGCGCAGTTATAAGGAATTAATAAATATAGATGTTGAGAAATCCCTATATATACTTTCGCGGAGATATAAAAAACAGAATTTTGCCATTTATTTTGGTTCTTATTTCGTTATGACACAAAAATCTCCGTACAACGTTTTTACTGATGAGATATATCCCCATATTATGCTGTTCATCCTTATCTTGGCCACAGTAGAGAGCTTGTAAGCTCTCTACTGTGCTTGGGCATACTGTATAATATCTAATATATTTTGGGTATCAAATGAAATGATTTCTCAACGCTCACAAACCCTTCATCTTTTTTTATTATTTCTTCGGCAGTTTATAAATTGTCAAAAATAAAAAGCAAGTCATATAGAGGTTTATATATATATATACACCGAACATTCTTGTACCGAAAAATAAAATAATATAATCTTGTTATTTGATATCGATTTCAATATTTCATAATTATTTCTCCCATTTATTCGACATTTCTTTCAATTCATTCCTAAAAATTCGAATAATATTAATTATTATCTTTATCTTTGTTCTCATTTCATTCAAATCAACTTGCTCTATTACTTATTTTCACAAAACTTGCATTGATACTTCCACAACAAACGAACAAACATTGTTCTATGAATATATCAAACGAATAAAGCGAAGTGTCAATCTTCTGACATCACAAATTTCAATCTGACAACTTGACAAAGACAAAACTCATTTGGTTATTTGATAATCTGTGACAGTCTGTGATTAGGTCATGTCAAATCAAGTGTCAAGTCTGGGCTGTGATGTTTGGTTTCCTAAAAAAAAGGACACGTTAAACGGTTAAAAATTATTAATGTAATGCGGGTTTAGAGTTTTGTACTTTCCTTATCAATAAGAGGAATACTGTGATTAATTTCCGGTGATAATAAGTGCATTGAACTTGGCAGTTGCAATTAAACTATACAAAATGTCCAAACCAAAGGTTCTAGTATTAGGAGGTAAACAACATTTTGAAATAATAAAGACAAACATACTACTAATAGGATTCCTTTCAGGTTGTGGTTTTATAGGTCGCAATTTAGTCTCCTATTTAGTGAATGAAAACCTAGTTAGTCTATTAAGAATTGTAGATAAAGTGCCTCCACAAGTGGCCTGGCTCAATACTATACATGGAGAAGCTTTCAATAATAGTTTAGTTGATTTCAAAAGTGCAAATTTGATTAACCCTGGTAAGTAAGCAATGTGACAGTATAAAAAAGTAGGCCATATATGGTTCTTAACTGAAGAATCTGAGAACTGAAACTTGAATTCCAAAACCTCTTTGTAGAATCTTGTAAAAATGCCTTTCAAACTTCTGATGGTTCAACTTGGGATATTGTGGTGAACTGTGCTGGGGAAACAAAGTCTGGTCAAACAGACCCAGTATACAATGAGGGAATTTTGAAATTAAGCTTGAATTGTGCTAATGAAGCAGCCCTTCAGCAAGTGAAGCATTATGTAGAACTGTCTTCTGGCAATATGTATTCTTCTGAAAAATTGCCACACAAAGAAGATGGCCCAGTAGATCCTTGGACTTATGTGGCCAAATGGAAGAGACAGGTGAACAAATTTCATTAGATTCCTATTTGAAAATTCAACTTGTTTTTCATATTGGTCATAGAAAGATTGTTCTGAGCCCTAATTTGTTGGTTTCAATTTGAGGTGGAGAAGAAATTGGCAGAAATGTCAGAGTTATGCTACACAATTCTCAGATTGCCTAAGGTCTATGGTCTGGGTGATAGAACAGGCCTAATGCCAAGGATAATGGCTGCTGCTATCTACAAACATATGGGTGAAACCATGAAACTTCTGTGGAATTCTGACATGAAAATCAATACTGTTCATGTAGATGATGTTTGCAGAGCTATTTGGTTTGTTGCAATTAGAGATGATACAAATGGACAGGTAACACATTAACACATTTGTATATATCTCCTTTCAGAATTATCATTTACAAGCAAGTTATTTATTTATTTATCAAACATATCTTCCACTCAGAACAAGTTCTGGTATAAGGAAGAACATAATTATTAAATGATAAGTAATAAATATATTTACTACAAAAAAATATGCACCTACATCCCTGGAATATGATGTTGGGGAAATTTAAAGATTCTAATTTTTATATTTCAGAACTTTTGAAAAAAAAATAGTACACCTCTGAAGTCACAGTTTTGATTATCTTTCTGATTTTGATGAAAGAAAAGTTAGAATTCAGCATATTTATTTTTGATTCCCTTAAAAAAATTGGGTAGGCTCAAGAAGTCATGATTTTGATCATCAATATACATCAAAGAAATATCAAAATTTACCCCTCAATTTTGATTTTTGAAATAATTTCTGACATCTGATCTATGTTCACTTACTGCTTATGCTTTAATTTCATTTCTAAACATTTTTTACATCCAGTTCATACAGTGATAAAGTATACCCCTGAAGTCACAGTTTTTATTTTGATGAAAGGAAAGCTAGAATTCAGCATATTTATTTTTGATTCCCTTGAAAAAATTGGATAGGCTCAAGAAATCATGATTTTGTTCATCAATATTGGAGGAAACAACAACCCAAGATGGTATTATATCTGGTAATTAAAAAGTACTCAAAATACTTAAAACTGGTACTTAAGGTAGTGTTATCAGGTACTTAAATACTGAAGTACTTGAAAGGAGATTTGAAAGCTTATTACATTGTACTTAATGTTTTAAAAATGATACTTAAACTACTTAAAATTACATGGTGTATACCTATTTAAAGAGTTGCTTCCCCCTTGTCAATATACATCAAACAAATATCAAAGTTTACTCTCCAATTTTGATTTTTGAAGGAATTTCTGATATCTGATCCATGTTCACTTACTGCTTATGCTTTAATTTTATTTCTAAACAATTTTTTACCTCCAGTACATACAGTGATAATACAGTTCTATGATGCTTATTTGATGTGTTATTTGTCATCTTTGATATAATCTGAAAACTGAAAAAAATCAAGGATATTTTTAAACACAAACAACATCGAGATTATTATCTTTACCCTTCTTTTACTTACCACATTTTCTGTACAAAAATGTAACCATAGCAAAGAACCTACTTTCTACCTAGATATTATTAGCTACGCCATATTTTTTCTAGAAAAATGTTTTCATAACAAAAATACAATATCCTCAACTTTTTTCACTTAGTTTATATGTCAAATCAGCATTTAAAGGCACTAGTATATTATTTTAATGTGTATAATATTAATAAAGAAGTTCAGCCTGCTTTGAGAGATGAAAATATGTCTATTCATATCTACAGGTTTCCAACTCAAAATAATCAAAAATTTAATGTTGACAACAGAAAAAAGAAGAGAAGGTCCTTCTAACCTAAGTTGAGTCCTCTATTCTTACATCTGTCTCTTTGGTGCTACTAACATAACCATATTGAAATATAGAGAAATTGTCATTACAAAGCTAGACACTCCTTTCATTCAGACAAAAATAGTTATTGAATTCTCCAGTGGCACAGACTAGAAGGTAAGACAGGAAAACATTCATAGCACTTCTCTATATTTTAATATGATTACATTGGAAGCAATGAAGAGAAAGAGAAAACTTCACAAATCATTAGACATAAAATAAACATAAAAATGCAATATACCATACTCTATACAAAAATCAAATTTACTTAGGAAGATACCTTCCTTCTCTTGCTTCCACGATAGTGGGAGCTCAATAGAGCACTAGACCAGTTCAACTAGCTTTGAGAGAGAGAAAATAATATGTCTTCACCAACTGTTCTTGTCACTCCTTGTCTTCAGTGTTCCAATGTGAAATAATGAAAATTTCACATTGGCAACATTGAAAATGAGAAAAACTGGAGAAGAAGATCTATTAACCTCAATATATCGAAAAGTTAGAATGGGCATCGCCCTAGCTCCTCAGGTAAGGCACTAGCCGTTCAATATCTAAATTATATAAGGCTAGAATGCTGATTTTTATCATTAAAATTATCGATGCATATATCACCAACAGGAAAATTTGGGTTAAGGTCAACGATAAACACTAACTACCTGATACAAGAAAACACAAAATGCAATTAAAAAAATGTATCCATTGTTATCCAGGACCGTCCCTCTCTCGCTGGAGAATAAGGTCTTGGTGTACAAGCAAATTATCAGGCCTGTAATGACATATGAGTGTCCGGTGTACTGCAGCATCCCACCTACTCATATGAGAAGGTTACAGGTGCTGCAGAACAAAGAACTCCGTATTATCACCAACGATGATAGATACTCTCGAGTGGCAGATCTCCACGAGAGATGTGGTAATTTGCCTAGAATCAGCGAGTTCATCCTGAAAATATCTAATAGATTCTACAAATACCACATCGCTGGAAGTGACCTTACCCGGAATATCACTGCAGTCAGAGAACACCACAACATCCGCAAAAAACACGGGCTGATATATGCATCAACCGATGTTTTTAGGGAACCTGAGAATCTATAGTCGGGAATCTTCCCGGATTCTCGAACACGTCTGAGACACCGAGAGGGATCTAGATAACACTATCTCCCAAGCAAGTAAATAAAATAGTGTCACAGCTCACGAGCAAACACGGCACTGAACTCGGACAGATGTACAAACACGGAAACGTGGAGGTCCAGCGCTGTCCGAGCCTAACTAGAAGGAGGTTTTTGTTCTTACACATTTTATTTTTCCTCCAAAAACCGGAAACACTTTCTGCACTGATCACGTATGAGCAACTCCCCCTCCCCACTGGGTACCCACAGTGAGATTACCTTTATAAAGGGCCTAGCCCTAGGAGATAGGTCTCTGCGACGAATACTTCACAAATCCTCTCACATTTCTTGGCCAACACCAGCCACCTCTGCGCCACGCGGAGGGACATCTAGGGGCACTATATGATGCTCCAGTTCAAAATATACATGTTGTGATAAAAATTTGTGATGTAGATTATTGGGATGAAAGAAATAAACGACTTTAATACGTTCAATATCTGAAGTTAAGCAGTGTCGAGTGCGGTTAGTACTTGGATGTGTGACCATTCGAGGAAACGCCGCTTTAACCCGTACATCTGTAGCGGAATAGCATATCATAGCTACAGCTACCATATCAAGGAGCACAAGATATAGTACGGATATGCCTTTCTTCGGAGGCGACGTTAAGCCGGCGGTCCCGAGGCCATTGATGTTGGACTCGTTAAAGATCCCTACCTCCGGTTGGAACACCAGAGGATTCGGCAGAATTTCCGGTTCCGGGGTAGTGTACTCACCGGCGTCGGTGAAAACAAGGAAGAAGAAAAGTTAGAATGGTATATTCTTCTCTATTTCTTCTCATTTTTAGTGTCGTCAGCAAATAATAATTCAACTAAACTACTCAACACTAATTTCGTCGCACACCAAAATGTCGCTTCTGTTATAATGTCAATAACTTTTTTCAGTTTAGAACAATTTGAATTTGGTTCACACTGTTCGATAGCCCAGTCCTTCAGCTATAATCTCGTACTTCATTGAAACATAAGGGTATTCACATAAAATCTCTACATGGTGTTTTCCGACACTGTGCGAAATTTCGGAATATTCAAAAGGCTCTCAAATGGTGAAAAAAAATGTTTTCCCAACTTTGACAACAGAGGCATGAAGATGATCTCATTACCTCGAGATATTTCGCGAATCAACTTCCTATCTCTCTTATTTACAGGGTGATCTCAAAAAATCAACTTTTTGGTTTTGCAGCCATAACTTTTTTTTACGTCAACCGATTTTGGAAATCTTAGGCTCATTTTGAAGATAAAACTTCAGATGAAGAGATCTGAATATCAGAATTGACTCAAGATGGCTATCAAAGATCTAGAGTTATCTTGAAAGTGACCCAAATCTGGAACGCCCTTCGAATCTTGGTTGGGAGGAGAATTGAATGAAAATCAACTTGTTCTCGGAAAAACAATTCATTCTGGATGCGTCCATATTTTTCTCGTTCTCAGTAGTCAAGAATTGTGCGTGAGAAAACACAATTGAAACATGTTCTTGCAAAAACATTAGATCATTTCTCCTCTGTAATGCATGGCCCGCCGTAACCAACGTTACAAGAATCACAATGAGTGACTGACAAACCCGACCAGCTGAGACTCATCATAAATGGTGTACCAACAAGAGCAACGGATTTTGATTTTTTCAATTAAGTGATTTTTTTAACAGTTGTCACGTACATAACATGCGATTTAAGAATATGGAGGAGTATTCAAGAAAACAACGTTTATTTATTGTGAAAATGCATTTCAAAAATGGTGAAAGTTTCTCGAAAACAGTTTGCCAATTACGTAAAGTTTTCAGTCGCAATAATGCGTCGAACGAATCGACAGTGATAAACAAAAAATTCGTGTCGGAGATGAGCCCTTTGAATGGATCGGACTGTCGTGTTTAGCAGATCCGCGATTTGGAGGGAAGATAACCCTTGTTTCCTCATTTGTGGAATCAGTTCCAACTGGTCGGTCGTTAGATGCGGCATCGAAACTATCAAAATCTGTTTATGATTCGAAAACGACGTCTAACCTGACTTGTCAGTCACTTACTCAGTCTTGTAACGTTGGTTACGGGCCATGCATTACAGAGGAGGAATGGTCTGATGTTTTTACAAGAACATGTTTCAATTGTGTTTTTTCACGCACATTCTTGAGTACTGAGAGCGAGGAAAATATGGACGCATCCAGAATGAATTGTTTTTCCGAGAACAAGTTGATTTTCATTCAATTCTTCTCCCAACCGAGATTCGGAGGGCGTTCCAGATTTGGGTCACTTTCAAGAAAACTCTAGATCTTTGATAGCCATCTTGAGTCAATTCTGATATTCAGATCTCTTCTTCTGAAGTTTTATCTTCAAAATGAGCCTAAGATTTCCAAAATCGGTTGACGTGGAAAAAAGTTATGGCTGCAAAACCAAAAAGTTGATTTTTTGAGATCACTCTGTAAATAAGAGAGATAGGAGGTTGATTCGCGAAATATTTCGAGGTAATGAGATCATCTTCATGCCTCTGTTGTCTAAGTTGAGAAAAAAATTTTGTTCACCATTTGAGAGCCTTTTGAATATTCCGAAATTTTGCACAGTGTCGGAAAACACCATGTAGAGATTTTATGTGAATACCCTTATGTTTCAATGAAGTACCAGATTATAGCTGAAGGACTGGGCTATCGAACAGTGTGAACCAAATTCAAATTGTTCTAAACTGAAAAAAGTTAGTCTTCTTCTCATTTTTTTTGTCACCAATATAACCTGAAGACAAAGACCAAGCTGAACTCCTCTATTTGCATAATAACTCCAGCTTAAAGATTCCACTTACATTTGTAGATATACAACGTGGTTGATGACGCTGACTCCACTCAGGGCACCATCTCCTGCCTCCTGGAGGAGATATTCAACGTCAAAATCGACTACTACGGCAACTTGATTTCCGCCGTGGTCGATTTAACTGGCGCCGCTGACGACGCCAACGACAAACACCTGGCGCCATGGGCGGCCGCCTGTCGAACCGACGCCATCTTGAATACCCCTCTTTCCCCCCACATGGACGGGGAATCCTTGTTGCACAAACATTTGAGGCTTGACGGGGGAAAACTGAGGGGGTTGGGGTTCGATTTGACAGTGCCCCAACCGACAGTTCACAATTTGAAGGTCGTTCTAGATGATTTTGTGGGGATGCGGATTTTTCCTAGTTCCTTGATTCCTTAGGCTTGTTTCTTATCTTCCAGGTTTTCTGACAATGTACTGTGCAGATGCCGCTAAATCACTGTTACAATCCTCCAGATCTTCATTTGAAGTCATAAAGGTCATAGGAACACTTGTAATGCAAATAATTAATATGTTTGGATCGAAATTCGGGTTCATCCATGGAAACACGGTGTTCAAATCCAATATTTCACGAGAATTTCGGACAAATATCTATCGTTAGGAAAGTTTCATTCAACGTGGTTTCAAAACTAATAAAGTGTCGTAATTCCATTGAAAGGAAACAGTGGAAATGAGCAGAGTAAGCGGTTTCTACCGACTACGCCAAGGTCAAACACCTGTTGCACCGACGCCATCTTGAATACCCCTCTTTCTCCCGACATGAACGGGGAATCCTTGTTGCACAAACATTTGAGGCTTGACGAGGATAAACTGAGGGGGTTGGGGTTCGATTTGACAGTACTCCAACCGACTGTCCACAATTTGAAGGTCGTTCTAGATGATTTTGTGGGGATGCGGATTTTTCTTCCTTCCTTTATTCCTTAGACTTGTTTCTTATCTCACTTGTAATGCAAAAAATCAATATGTTTGGATTAAAATTCGAGTTCATCCATGGAAACACGGTGTTCAAATCCAATATTTCACAAGAATTTCGGCCACATACCCATCGTTAGGAAAGTTTCATTTAACGTGGTTTCAAAACTAATACATTGACGTAATTCCATCCAAAGCAAACAGTGGAATTGAGCAGAGTAAGCGGTTCCTACCGACTACGCCAAGGTCAAACACCTGTTGCACCGACGCCATCTTGAATACCCTCCTCTCTCCTCCACATGGACGGGGAATCCTTGTTGCACAAACATTTGAGGCTCCATGGGGGCAAACTGAGAAGGTTTGGGTTCGATTTGACAGTTCCCTGACCGACTATTGTCAATTTGAAGGTTATTTTGTATGATTTTGTGGGGATGCGGATTTTTCCTAATGCCTTCATTCCTTAGGCTTGTTTCTCATTTTCTTCTAGGTTTTCTGACAGTTTACTGTGCAGATGCCGATAAATCACTGTTAAAATCCTCCAGATCATTCATTTGAATACAAGAACGTCATAGGAACAACGTCATATCAACATCTTTGGATCAAAATTTGAGTTCACCCAAAGAAACATGGTGTTCATTTCCGTTATTTCATTAGAATTACATCCGAATATCCATCGTTACAATGCGTTTTCAAAACTGATGTATTTTCTTGAATCCACGCAAATTAAACAATGAAATTGAGCAGAGTAAGCTGTTCCTACAGACTACGCCAAGGTCAAATACCTGTTGCATCGACGCCATTTCCTCTCAAATCGCTATTGCACATTGAATGGTCGAAATATTGCCTCAAAATTTGTATCTTGTATCATAAAATGTGCTAATTAATTGACAAAAGACGAGTTCTCGTTACACAAGTTTGTAAATTGTGTATCTTCCTGTAAATTGTATACACATACCGTGAACAATTTTGAAAAAAGGAAGTGGTTTCACCACAATACTTACTCAGCTTGTTCTGTGTTATTGCAGGGTGTATAATATGGTGTGAGTGTTCGGTATATTTCAAAAATATTAGATTTTTGAATGTTTTATTTCACTAATGAATTATGGCAATTTATAAATTTATTTATAATAATTCATTTAGTAAACTACCGTTAGCCTTATAACCATGACAATAAAATTATTATGAATATTGCTTACACCATATCTTAGGACATTCTTTCATTTAGTATCTACTTACTTATATACTTGTGTCAGATTCAGAATGTTGTACTGTTATGTACTGAATTCATCAGATTTTTGTAAAGAAAAGTTACTGGAAAATTAGGTAACCATTTTTGCAAGTGTTTTTCTGATTGAATAGGATGAAGATGAGCAAATCTGCCGATATTTATGTCCAAAATTTTGAAGCTACAGTAATAGAACAAAAACCCTAAACAAATTATATTATAATTAGTTATCTCCATTTTATGAAGTTAATTGTTGAAAAAATTAATTGGAGCTTGAAACTCTGTGATATAAATGTGGTTTTCATGCACAAGGGGATTTCTCCGAGTCTAACTGCTGTGTTATTTACTTTTCCAAGTTAATTTACAGTTAACTTCTCTGGAATGTACTTAGATACTGTTTTATTTAGATCCCCAAATGTACTTAATATTGAAATAAAATGTACGTACAATGTTCTATTGACATCCCGAGTTTTTTAAAATAGAATAAAGCCGATCAAATTATCTTCTATATTTCTTTGAATTAAGTTTTGAAAAAACTTGTTAGTAGGAAGTCCCATAATGATTATTTTTTTAATGGTGTGGCTATGAGTGACCTATTTTTGTATAACTATTTGTTACCTAGTATTAAAAAATATACAGGGTTTTTCCATGTTTTTGGTAGACAAAATTACCTACTATTGTGCAATTATACATTATTGATTTTAGCTTTACAGTTATTTTCTATGTAGTCACAACTATTTCAAATTCTTATTACAATATTCTTATAATTAAGTGATAACTACATTCCAATTTAAGTTTGTCAAATTGTTATATAGTAACCAACGAACTGAATGTGGATATGAAATTGCTCAATTTATTTTGAGGTCCTTAAAGGGCCCCTTTTTAGTCTTTTACTATGAATCGTTAATCAAGTTGTTGATTCCTATTATAAATACTATTATATCTGTACTGGACGAAGTCGTTTCATTTTATTACAAAATAAGCATTTTTGCAGAACGTAAAAAATAAACTTAATTAACAGCAGATCCTCATTTTTTGTTTGAAAATGTCGAAAATACTGTTCATGACTCGCTTGTATACAGGGTGATCCACGGTGGATGGCCTATTAGAAGTCTCTGGAGAACGAAAAGACAAAACATACTGAAAATTGGGATGCTTTGATGATTGAACATTTTCTATCTGTCTAAAATATTTTCATCGATACAATGTTGCCACTTCTTTCGGAAACAACTATATATAGCAACTTTATTATTTCAGATGGAACACAATGTATTTTACTGCATTTTTAGATTCTTCCTGAAGAGCTAATTTCATCAATGCATCACACTTGGGGTCTAGCAGGAATGATTACAGAGATATAGGGTGTTCAAAATCGAGATTTTTTAATTTTAGGATTTTTTTGTGTCGAAACTTTTCATTATCGATCAAAACGGCTTACATGTTCCTATCTTAACTCTTGATCTACTATCTACTTGAATTTCATTGGAAAAAATACAGGGTGCTTCAAGATTGAGAATTCTGATCACCCTGTAACTGTTCCAATTAAATGTCGGTAGATAGTGAATCGAAAGTAAAGATAGGGACATGTATGCCGTTTTGATCGATAATGAATAGTTTCGACACAAAAAAATCCTAAAATTGAAAAAATCTCGATTTTGAACACCCAGAGATATACTCTGTAATCATTTCTGCTAGACCCCAAGTGTGATACATTGATAAAATCAGCTCTTCAAGAAGAATCTGGAAATGCAATAAAATACAGGGTGCTCTATTTGAAATAACGAAGTTGCTACTTGTTTCTGATAGAAGTGGCAACACTGTATCTATAAAAATATTTTAGACGGATAGAGAATGTTCAATTATCGAAGCATCCAAATTTTCAGAATGTTCTGTCTTTTCGTTCTCCAGATACTTCTAAAATAGAGGCCATCCACTGTGGATCACCCTGTATTTTGTCCTGAGAGAGAAAGGAGAGATGCTAGAAATATTAAGAAGGATATCACTTTATTTATCATTTTTCATTGTAAATTTTGTTCAAATATTGAACATACATTCATAGGTAACCAATCTCGTTTGATTTCCACACTGGTAATTATATCTCCATTTTTTGGACTAAATGAAAATTAAAAATTGAAGTAACTCTACCTCTGAATTGTGACTTCAAATTGCCGATTCTCATATTTCCTCTGAAAGCTTCACAAAAAAAGATATTTTGGGAAGGGATTGTTGAATGGATTTTATCCGGTATTTCGGTCTTGATAGCGCGTCACACTGTAGAAAAGTCAAATTCATTTGTTTATTTCTTAATATTTTTTTATTCCTTGAATTAATCCAGTTGAAAATGAGAGATAATTACCAGTGCAAAATCTGAAACTGTACTATCACCGCCTGTACATACAATGTGACCCATTTGTTCTTGTGTCACCTTGTAAAATCTTCAGATAAAGCGAATTTGGCGAGATATTTTTTTCAAATTATGAAACTTTATACATAATGATCAATAAAATCAATATTCAAGGCCTATAATATTCAAGAATTCACACTAGAGAGTAGAGATAAAAAATTATGAGCGTACTGTCAATGTTCAATTTGGCTTAGAAAATATGGCACAGGCCCATTATGAGGGCACAGAATGAGTATTCTGTGATGAGGGATAGTAATTCCAGTGGCGTACAGATATTTTTCAAAAAAACGCTGGAATGTAGTTTTTTTACTAAAAAATTTAAGCAATAATGAACCATGAATTTCCTAGCATCTCGTCGAAATCTCACCAACCAATAAATTTTTCACAGATATAGTGACCCAAGAACAAATGTTTCCCACCATACAGGGTGATCCACCATAATTCTCCCCCCCCTCCCCTCTGTAACTATTTTCAGCATAAAAATGCCTGATATATTAGCGATTGAATTTTTTTTCACTCAATCAATCAATAAGAGAATTTGAGAACACAGTGGAATGTAGATTATATTGAGTACTACATATTATTTGAGTGAAAAAAAAAATACAAGAGTCAAGCTGCTCAAAGTGGGACACTGTTGTATATGTAATGTAATTACATTTGATATGAGGTTATCTTATGAATGGTATGATATTATGATTTCTGGAGCAAGCGGTATGTAAGCGCCGTTTCCTCTTTTCTGTCATGGAAGAAATCTGTAAAGTGTCGCCATCTCGCGGACAACTGAGAACTAATATGCCATTATTGCGGAATCTGCGGTCAAGCGTTTTGGGAGAAACAAAACACTGTCTGTGATTACACCATATTCTATCCACCTTGTATTATACACATAAACATCTCGATGTTGCTGAGTCGCAAATTTGTATTTTATTCTGAATAATTTCAAGTATCAAAGCATTGCTGCCAAATCTTGTGCCAAATTCTACGACTCGATCTATGGAACTATTTGATGTATGGAGATTCCTGAGGAGGTCCAGCCTCTGATGCCACCTCTGATAGCTAGTGGTGGAACAATGAATATACATATATTCTTTTGGAGTTTCTCTTTTATTTCTTTTTGTTCAGTTTTTCATTTGTAAGGATTGTTGAAAAATTTCCTCACTAACGGGCTGTGGAAATTTTCGAATAGGTATTAGTCCAATCAATGAAGGAGGAAAAAAAGGCAAAGTTAACGTTAATTACGCACTATTTTCATCTCCCGGTTGGAAGTAGCTTTTGGTACCCCATTAAACATGAGACAAAGTTTGGCTGGAAAACGCGTGCGATGGCGGAGAAAATGGCCCCAAAAGACCAGAAAGATAGGTTTTCAGCCAATATCTCCTAAAATATGGCAGTTAGAGATTTTCGGTTCAGATAAAAATTGAAGTTCAGTTGATTTTCTACAAAAATGGTCCTTATCATTTTTCTCGAAAATTTGCCCGGTTTCGAGAAAAACGGCACGAAGCGCACCTCGAATAATGAGCTTCTGTTGTATGCCGGAGAGCACAGTGCGTGTATTTACACATCGGCGGGGGGACAAATTATTCAATAACTTTGTTAAAAATGCATATTTTCTCATGATTCAAAGTTCATGTGAAAGAGGAATTCTGCTGCTATCATACCCTGCGTGGCCGCATGGTTTGAAGCAGACGACCCGAGCGCCACGTAGAGCACACACGCGGCGAACGACGGAGGAACGAAAGTAATAAATTATAGCGTGTACATTTAGATATACTGGTTTTTTCCCGGGATATCAAAGGTATGACTTATATACATCGATGGAAAGGTGGGAATTCCCCCGTTACACTAGTTAAGGTGTTAAAATTTTAGAAATAAATAGCACGGAGAAAAAACCACCGAAAAAAAAGTGCGTTTTTTCCTCGACCCCGCTTTTTCTAATTTTATTGAGAAATCGACGACTTCGTCTAACAAAGTAATTGCACAATCGAAAAGTGGACCTTCTTAGCTTTCAAATGATGTATCAAAGAAACCAATCGGATCATGTATAAATTTTTAATTGATGGTTGTTCACAAAATTTCCCCGCGCTCCAAAAACAGCAAAAAATTAGGATTCAATAAACAAAGATTAAATGAAAATTAAAAAAAAATTAGGGTATACAAATTTTCAGGGATGACGAAGGACCTTATGAGGACCCATAATCAAGAGAATTTTGAGTAAATTAGTGCAATACAAAAAAAATAGGAACAAATTCCTGGCGAGGTCAAAATTGACCGGGAGCAGAAAGACCCATGTTCCGATATGGCCAAAAGAGTCAAGCGTAACTCAATTTACAGTGTATGATAGCAGTAGAATTCCTCTTTCACATGAACTTTGAATCATGAGAAAATATGCATTTTCAACAATGTTATTGAATAATTTGTCCCCCCGCCGATGTGTAAATACACGGACTGTGCTCTCCGGCATTCAACAGAAGCTCATTATTCGAAGTGCGCTTCGTGCCGTTTTTCTCGAAACCGGGCAAATTTTCGAGAAAAATGATAAGGACCATTTTTGTAGAAAATTAACTGAACTTCAATTTTTATCTGAACCGAAAATCTCTAACTGCCATATTTTAGGAGATATTGGCTGAAAACCTATCTTTCTGGTCTTTTGGGGCCATTTTCTCCGCCATCGCACGCGTTTTCCAGTCAAACTTTGTCTCAAGTTTAATGAGGTACCAAAAGCTACTTCCAACCGGAATATGAAAATAGTGCGTAATTAATGTTAACTTTTTCCCTTTATTTATTGGACTATATCTCAATAAACAAGAAAGTTTCAGGGAGGAGGAGGAGGAGGCTAAAAATTCATGGTGGACCGCCCTGATCTTCATTTCCGACTGATGAAAAACCTGAAACGTTCCCCGTGCTACCTGATGGGCGCTATGACCAAGTTCAATTTGAGTTTGTCCCTGTTGGGCCCCACTAAATAGGACGTCTCGTGTCGGCCCTGCAAAGAGGCCGACGGGTTCAGCTCTTCGAAAGGAATGAGATCGTCGATGTTGACGACTTTGTCTTGACCAGTGAAGTGGTGGATTTTCTCCTTGACTTCCATCACGTGCTCGATGCCGCCTTGCATGCCGTAAGTCAAAACTGACACCTTGAAAGAGACGAAAACTGGGGGTTTCAGGACTTTTCGATCATTTTTACATTGACGAAAAATTTATTTCTCATTTCATCATAAAACGTATGGTGATTTTCTCAATATTCAACCTTCTCAGAAAAAGATGTGTACGCTCTTGAGGTCGAGATTCATTGTCTATAGATGGAAATAGGTAATTCAAAGAAATTTGGACATTTCATTTTTGACCACTTCTAGTAACAAATTGGTACGCGTGTGACTCTATCAAAGTAGGAACGTCAAAGAGATGTGTATATGCGACCTTTTAGATTTAAGAAATTAGGAAATTCAAAATGGCGGATCCAACATGGCGGACAAGTTTAGTAATTATATGATCCGATCCTATTCAAAATTGGTATCTGCAATTTTTCGGAGTTGGAGATTATGACTCTCTCGACAAAATTAGGAAACTCGAAATGGCGGATCCAATATGGCGGACGAGTTTCTTGATTATAATTTGATTCCGTTTAAAATTGTTATCTGAGGATTTTCGGAGTCGAAGATTATAATTCTTTCGTCAAAATTTGGAAATTCAAGATGGCGGATCCAATATGGCGGACGAGTTTTGAAATATTATGATCCGATTCCATTCAAAATTTGTATCTGCGAGGGTTTTTGGGGTCGGAAATTATAATCCGTTCGTCAAAATTTGGAAATTAGAAATGACGGATCCAATATGGCGGACGAAATTTGTAATTATCATCCGATTGTATTCAAAATTGGTATCTCATTGGGGTTTTCGGGGTCGAAGATCATGATTCTTTCGTCAAAATCAGGCCATTGAGGATGGCTGATCCAAAATATGGCTGACGATTTTTGTAATTATGATCAGATTCTATCCAGTATCTGCATCTGGGGGTTTTGGAGATCGGAGATTATGATTGTTTCTTCAAAACTAGCAAATTCAAGATGGTGGATCCAATATGGCGAACGAGTTTTGTAATAAAACAAAATTACAAAAATGATAAAAGATAAATGTGAAGATTATTGACAAACGAATAAATAAATGAATACCTTGACTCTCATTTCTGACTCAGAAAGCTCTCTGCATGTCAAAGACAGTCTAACGGTGGATAATGTCTCCTGAGGCACTTCCAGGGTGCCCTGCCACACGATCAGAAAACATTTTTTGAACCAGACTCCCTTAGGATATAGGTCAACTAGCCACTCGTTCACCTAACATAATAATAACAACATTGAATATACTTGATCGGAGACAAATTTTAACGAATATTGATAAATATCAAACTTAAATGGGAAATCCAACTAAACTACGCAGCACTAATTTCGTTGCACCCCAAAATTTTGTCCCTGTTAAAATATGAATAACTTTTTTCTGCTTTGAACAATTTCAATTCTAATTACACTGTTCCCTAGCCCAGTCCTTCAGCTATAATCTCGTACTTCTTCAAAACATGCGAGGTTCTTCATATAAAATTGCTACAGGGTGTCACCTGAATCTGTGAAAAATTTCGATTTTCAAAAGGATCCCAAATGAACAGAAACTTTCTTTTTCAACTTCGACAGCAGAGGCATGAAGATGATCTCATTACCTAGAGACATTTTTCAAATTGTCTTCTTATCTCTTTTATTTACAGATTGATCTCAAAAAAGGACCTTTCTGGTTTTGCAGTCATAACTTTTTTCCTTGTCAACCCGTTTTCAAAATCGCATTTTGAAGCTTCAGAGATGAAGAGATATGAAGATCAGAATAACCTCAAGATGAACATTATACAGTGTGTCTCACTTGTAATGGAAGCACCCCTCTATGTTTCGTAATTGTTGAGTTAGGATTCTGAAATTTACCGGAGCGGGAGATATACTGAAAATGAACACTATGACCAAGTGGAGTCATCTCCAGTGATAAACACTGCTCGCCAACAGCCATGGAACTACCCAAATTTCCGGAAAATGTTATTAGGAGCCAAGATTTGAAGGTTGAAAATCACTTCGGATTCGAAATCAGGACGTCCAATTCACTGACTATACATATTATTCCTGGAAAATGTTCAGTTCCGGAAAATTAAATTTTGTCTCACTTCTCATGGAAGCACTCCCGTATTTCACGTAATTATTGAGGTAGAGGGTTCTGAAATTTGCAGGAGGAAGCGAAAGGTACGTCCTGATTTTGATTTCGAAGTGATTTTCAACCTATCTTGCATTATATAATTTTTGTGGATGGTTCCATGGCTGTTGGAAAGCAGTGTATATCACTGGAGACAACTCCACTTGGTTATAGGGTGTATTTTCAGTATATCTACCGCTCTTGCAAATTTTAGAATCCTAACTCGATAACGAAAGATACTGGACTGCTTCCATTAGAAGTGAGACACACTGTATAATGTTCGTCTTGAGTCAATTCAGATCTTCATATCTCTTCATCTGAAGTTAAAGCTTCAGAATGAACCTGAGATGTCAAAAATCGGTTGACGAGGAAAAAAGTTATGACTGTAAAACCAAAAAGTTCATTTTTTGAGATCACTCTGTAATTAAAAGAGATAAGGAGACAATTCGAGAACTGTCACAGAATAATGAGATCATCTACATGCTTTTACTGTCAAAGTTGAAAAACAAAAGTTTTTCTTCATTTGGGATACTTTTGAAATTTTCGAAATTTTGCACAGTTTCAGGTAACACCCTGTAGAATTACAAGATTATAGCTGAAGGACTAGGCTAGCGAACAACGTGATCCAAATTCAAATCGTTCAAAGCAGAAAAAAGTTCATATTTCAACAGAGGCAACATTTTGGGGTGCGACGAAATTAGTGTTGTGTAGTTTTGTTGGTGAATATTGAAGTTTAATGATGAGTATCAAATTTAATGGTTGAAGAATATCATATTTAATGGTTGACGAATATCAAACCTGAATGATTCAGAAATATGAAATTCAAAAAGATCATGAAAATCAAATTTTAGATTTTAATGAAGAATATCCGATTTTAATGAGGAATATCCGATTTTGGGATATAAAATTTTAATGGTTAGAGTCCGACCACGATAACTTTGGGACAGCACGTGGTCGCGTATGCATTGAATATGCATATGCGTTGCGTCACATGCTGTCCCAAAGTTAACGTGGTCGGACTCTACCGAATATCAGATATAAATGATCTATATCAGATTTCAATACAATTGATAATAATGTAATGTTCATCTCATAGGGATAACGAGAAAGATAATATTCGCCAAAGACAAAGTACCAAATATAAGGATAAAGTAGAAACTTTTCAGCCAGAGTAAAAAATATTCAGCAATAGAATAGAATATATTATATGTTGACCAAACCTAAAGAATATTCTACAAAGGTACAGAGTATTTGGCAAAAGCACCGAATATTTGGCAGAAGAACCGAATTTTCGACAAAATTTCAATATTTTCCGGCAAAATTACCGAATATTTCTCGTACAACTAATATCCATCAATTCATCTCTAGAGTAATGCAACGAATATTGCATTCCAACAATTGCCGAATATCTGGTTATTCGGTCGAATATTCGGCAAACTAGTGACATTAAACAATAATAATTATAATTAAAGCTACCTTGTGTGACTCGTATTCAGCAGCAGATAGATGGGAGGAGAAAACAAAGGTGCTGGTGTGGTAGTTGGGGATATCATGAAAGTTCTCGATTGTCAGAAGAGCGCTACAGCTGTCGCAGGTATATAGACGAGGGGTGAACAAAAAACAACCTTCATCAGAGTTGTTTGATTGGATTTGATTGGTCATGCCTGAATGATACTTCATACCTGTATAAAATCAAAATATATAGGTGCCTATTTTTTCAATTGATAATGGAGAAGTTTCCTTTAGATTAATTTCCATAAAATCACTTCAGACCTCTCCATTTTTATGTCCACGCTGTACAGAATGGCGACCGATAAAGTCCAAGTCGTTTTCATTTTCAAATTAAAGTAATTTCTAATTTTCGGGGCGACAAATTGTGACGTACATTCTGAATCTAGTCTGAAAATAGCTGATGGTGTAGAATATAGCTAGCGAATAGCTAACTAATTGCTAATAAGGAATGAAAAAAATAGAAGTAAAACTGGTAAACAAAAACATACATAACCACAAATGCACTCGGAGCAGGAATGCAGAAGGTAGTTGGCTTCATTCTGACAGGTTATGGTTTTATTGTTATTTATGCATTGAAATATCTCGAATAGAGCACGATCGTGAACGAAAATATCATTCAATCAATGAATCAGTATCGCTTACATTCAATATGATACTATCCTTCCTAATTTACTGCCATCGGACAGAACATAATGAAGCCGACACCCTTCCTCTTACTGTGCCTGTCAGTATTCTGAGTGATGTGGACGGACTCGAAGTATTAGGCGCTGTCAGTTTTAGTCATGCAAGATATAATCTGCAACTTTCCTAGAGAATAGACCCGTTTTATTATGGAACGAATTCATTAGCAAAAAATTGACTGACAAGTTATGAATATAAAATTTATAGATACTATCGCAAAATATCATAATTTATCTTCATTAGTAATCAACTTCATTCAGCCAATGAGAGATTAATGGGAAGTATTCATAATACTTGAAAAATTAGGATTGAAGAACCTATTTTATCCCATTGCTGTTATGATTTAGTTATTATGCATTCAAAGAACAATTTCCGGAAATCTAGACATATTGATCATGTCGGCAACGTCGTACTGGCACAGGGAATCGTATTTTAACTCTGTGTGAATGTGGATGTTCAGAAAGTATGTCCACAGTAGAGAGCGTGGTATGTCATAGGAATGGTGGGGGAGCCAAGTTCCTCTTTCATTTATTTTTTTCTGAAGTGAAATTTGATCTTACGATAAAAAAACGTATATAATAATGTTTCACAAACTTCACAGTGAGATAAAAACTTCAATACAGGAAACTTCCCCATTTTATATAAAGTTTGAGAATTGGTTTTTTCAGCATTTTTTTAAATGGATGTCCTTCAATCAGGAGATTTGAAAAGTCATCTCAAAAATCAATAGGGAAACAGTTGAGATTTAATTTAATCATTCTTTTTCATATGAATCATTATTCTCTGTTAATAATAATGGCATAGATTTGTGGTCCTTAATCTATGATAATTGTAATAATTTTAAATATTTCATATTTTTTCATACTAAAAACTCATTTCAATACTTTACCTATTGCCATTCTGTCAACAAAAAATTCCTTATGTTGCTTTATCACAGGTGAGAGTAATAGATCAGCTAGCTCCCTAGGAGTCATCATTGGGAACCTTACATGCTTCATAATCTTCTCAATCAACATTTTGTACTCTTCATTGATCTCCCCATCAAGACTACTTTGCTGTTGGATTTTTATTTTCTGCAAATCCAGCCACCTTACCACACAATTATAGAGGACCATTTCATTGTGAACCACTATGTCATTTTGCTGCAAAATTCTTATAAACATATCGACATCAAAATTGCTGAAGTCTGGAGTGTTGGCCACAGATTCAAAATTCCATTTTATGTAGTTTTGGCAAGTTTCAAATACTTTTGTGTGGCAACAAGCTGTGCTATACTGCAACCAGGCAAACAGCTGATTATGAGATGAAGCATGGGGTACATGTTGGCACATATAACTCAGACAAGTCCTTGTTAAACTCTACAAACATTTATAATATTTTAATAACTATATAATAGCCTGGGAGCCAGTGACATTTTTCAACTAATAATTTCATAAAGCTTGGTTCATTTTTTATCTGTTGTAATAATATAGCTCATCACTTGTGATACCACTAGAGGACTAATTATTTCCGGAAATTTTTTCGAGCTCATGGATATGGTTATCGAATTTTCGAAAGATTTTTGAGATCTATTTCAATTGGAACTGGATATTTCATTTGTTAATATCCTTGAATTTGAAACTCTGCTGAATTCAAAAATAGTTCAGTGGCACAAAGTAGACAAAGAAAGATTTATCAACGGTACATTGTTGCCACTTCTATCAGAAACAACTAGAAACTTTGTTATTTCAATACTCTGTATTTATTGCATTTTTAGAATCTTCCTGAAGAGCTGATTTCATCAATGCATCACACTTGGGGTCTAGCAGGAATGATTACAGAGATATAGGGTGTTGAAAATCGAGATTTCTCAATATTAGGATTTTTTTGTGTCGAAACTATTCATTATCGATCGGAACGACGTACGCATATCCCTATCTTAACTTTTGATTCACTATCTACTGGAATTTAATTGGAAAAAATACAGGGTGCTCCAAGATTCAGAATTCTGATCACCCTGTATCTGTTCCAATTCCAATTAAATGTCAGTAGATAGTGAATCGAAAGTTGAGATAGGGATATGTAAGCCCACTCTTCTGTCAATTAATGAAACACAACCTCACTTTTTTATTTGTTTACAGAGAAATCAAAGGATTGAAATAGTTTTTCAGAATATTTTGGCATACGAATCGTGTTTTTTGCGCTATTCCTTAATTCAAGCATGCCTTGGCATTGTGCTGTTGTACAATGTTGTACAATTTTCAGGTAAATAGTAATCTCACATAGTTATCATTATGAAATGTTGTCATTCATTATTGAAATTCCTTCTGCCTTCTGCCACTTCTGCAATACAAGCTAATACTGCTAATAGATTGAAAATGTCTGCAACACACACGATTGTCAGCATGTCAGACCCTCGGTCAGACTAGTCCTCCCGATTGATTGCATGAATCTAATCTTCTTGCAATATTTTGAAAATGTCAGGTGTATTTCTATTAGATCCTATTGCAGAAGGCATTCCGATGAGAAATCAGAGAAATTACCAAATTTCAAAAATAAAAACTATATGTGTACAATAATGTACCAACCGGATTCCTTTGTCTTCCGCTGCAGTTTTTGTGCATTTTACAACAGCACAATATGATGGCATGAGCGAATTGATAAATAGCGAAAAAATACGATTTGTATTCCAAAATAATTGTGGAAAACTATTTCGATCACTTCTTGTAAACAAAATAAGAAAAGTGAGGTTGTGTTTTTTAATGTTTTGCCTCCAGCGTCGTTCATCTGACAGTTCTTGGGTTGCGTGCAAGAACTGTCAGATGACCGACGCTGGAGGCACAACATTGAAACACAACCTCATTTTTCTTATTTGTTCACAAGTGACCGAAATAGTTTTCCACAATTATTTTGGCATACGCAGGGGCGTCCGCAGAAATAATCTCAGGGAGGGGCAAGTCACAATAAATAATGTACAATATCCGCGGTTGGTACATTATTATGATTTGAAAGTAAGTACCTACTATAGTCACTCGCATAGTTTTCATTTTTGAAATTTAGTAATTTCTCTGATTCCTCATCGGAATTCCTTCTGCAATAGGAGCTAATAGAAATACACCTGAAATTTCTGAAATAATGCAAGAAGATTGGATTCATGCAATCAATCGGGAGGACTGGTCTGACATGCTGAAGATCGTGTGTGTTGTAGACATTTTCTATCTATTAGCAGTTATTAGCTTGTATGTCAGAAGTTCCAGAAGGCAGAAGGAAGTTTAAAAAGGAATGACAACATTTCATAATGATAACTATGTGAGATTACTATTTACCTGAAAAATAATATTCCTCAGTCTCTTGCTGCATTTTTTGTGCATTGTACAACAGCACAATGCCAAGGCATGCTTGAATTAATGAATAACGCAAAAAACACGATTCCTATGCCAAAATATTGTGAAAATCTATTTCAACCTTTTGATTCCTCTGTAAACAAATGAAAAAGTGAGGTTGTGTTTCAATAATTCACAGAAGAGTGAGGTTGTGTTTCAATATTTTGCCTCCAGGGTCGGTCATTGTGCACGCGACCTATATGATGAGGTTTGGTCTTTACATTTTTTTTATCCTATAAAAAAACTTTGTGAAAAAAAAACAATTTGATAAGTTATCCTGACATAAACAAATATAAAGAAGCACCAAAATGAATTTTCTTGGATATCTGGAACACCAAGAAGACTTATAAAGAAACTATGCAATCAGAAAAGTTAAATAATTGATTTCATTGTTCATTGAAATATTGAAATGCGGTCAGTGGCGTACTCGCCAAAAGTTACATCAATTTTTATCTCTGTACATTGATCAACTTGGTTTAACATGTTTTTTATGCACATTAGCACATTTATGATAGAGAATTGCCCTATGAATTTCAGAGTAGTTCCATTCAAGGATTTTGAAATTTTCAAGAGCATCTGGAATAAATTTATTCTTCAGTGCCCTCTCACAGCTCAATGGTGCATTTTCCTATAGAAGTAAGTTGATTTTGATTGGCCTATTCAGGTCTATAGTTCACCCTGTACGGTATATTATTGTGGGACACTTTGTTTCTCACATCATTGGGGCCCTGGCAGGTGTACATCATTCTACTAAACAGGTGGCAGAAGGTAATTTTTTTAAAGTTTCAGCATTTATCCTGTTTGACCTTCATTTGTGTTTTAAACAACATTGATAAGCTGCTGATAATCTTTGTCCAGATGGTATGTTGGCAGAAGTAGTTATGATAGGAAAATAATGAAATTATTCCAAGTCTTTATCATATAGGTATGCCAAAAAAAAAGGTCACTGTATCCCTAACTAAAATGATAGTTTTGATACTAGTTTATTTTCTTACTCTAACTATGTACTTGTCAGCTAAGGCTAAAATTGGCATGACATTTGTATGGGTGATGAGGATGTTCCCTGTATAAAAATATTCCAGAAACAAGTGGAAAACTGGTACACATATAGGCAATTCTTGAAGCTCAACCCTACTTTCATGCCACTCTGTCCACTCTGGCTTCATGAGCATCACCTCAAAACAGAAAGTATCTGCTTGAAAATATCTTGCACATTGAGGGTGAATGAAGGCATCTCACTTGAAAGACATCACTAGATGAACATAAAATCAATTTGTGTGCACCATATTCCTTGTTGCCCACTTTAAGGTAGACATCGCACATTTCCTTATCAAAATATAATCTCTTTATTACTTTCAATATGTTATCTGAATTGTCCACCTGAAAGTCAAGAAATTGCTATGCATATAGAAGGTGCATGTGAATATGAATTTTTCTTACCATTATTTGACAAGAATCATCTTGAGCTTTACGTCGAGTTTTAGAAGGAGAAGGTTCTGTATTTTCATCTTTAGCACTGGTACTGAATGGGTTGAACATAATTTCATAGAGAAAATTTGAAACAGTCACTGCAACGAATACGATGTAGTATGGATATTTATTCAAAACCTAGGAATCTGCGAGAACAGTAATTTATTTCATTTTGATAAAGATGAAACTTATGATTATGAAAGGAATATAAACAAAAACATATGTTTCAATAAACATAACCTAACTTTCAGACTTTCTTCTTCCTCTTTCTTCTGACTCTTCTGTTTTGTGCCTGTGGCTCCCTGTCTTCAATCCAAATTCTACTTCCTGTTTTCATGTCCTCAACCAAAACGAGTATTAGAGATTATAAACATCCGAGTGTTGAGGGCTGAGATGTGGCTGAGATAAGAGCGCGACTTTCGCACATTTTGATTTTTGATTTGTCTAAATTTGTGACCATCCTATTCCCTAGGAGAAAGTTCAAAGGAGAAGGACTAGTTAATTTCTCATGATCATCTAATTCAGCTTGGTAGATCAAATTTTGGTTACCTACATGCTACATAGGGATAATATAAGGCCCTACCCAATTTTTCAAACGAGAGGTTGAGGGTGGATATGCGGCATATTATCATTATGTCATAAGGATTATCGATCTCTTCAAGGATAATCAGATATCTCCCTCGATATTCTGCGGTCCTATCCCAAAAAGTCCCAATCTGGAAAACGCGGCGACAGCAGCGGTAAACTTCCCTGATAGAGATATACTGAGATAGGGCACATATTTTGGATCGATATCCAGCCTGGATCTTCCAGTCGTTTCCGTGTTCCATAGCTAGCCTGGAAATCGAGCTTTTCCGTAGGCTTTCCGGAATCCTTCTATCCAAGTTCCCGAGCTTTCCGGAAATAGTGGGGATTTTCATCAAGGCAACAGGAGAGTGTAAGAGGTCGTTCTATAGAAGGAAACTTTCTTTCCGGTCCCGGAGAAACACGCGTCGACCGGAATTATCAAGTAGGTTCTCTCATTTTCTCCATGATTTCCCCCCTGAATCCGCTCTTGAACCTAGCTTAAACCTAACATGGACGTTCCAAAATTACCGAAACATACATATTTGTAGGTTTTATAGAACGTCAAAGAAATGTACGGAATAGGATCTGAGTTGTAATTTTACAAATTGAACGTCTACCGTTCAATGAATGTCCGATTCCGGATACCTAGGTCCTAGGTAGGTATTATGAGTTCAATATAGTACGTCTGATGGGTGGATGTCCATTAGAATGAGTATCTATACCTTGGGTTCATCATCCCAGAGTACTCACAATAAATAGTGAGCACGATGTGGCTATAACGGACGATATTTTCAATCATATGCCTGTATTTTTATTGTTTTACGAAATCAAAACTAACTTATACATTCTATAGCAAGAAGTAGACCTTGAATATATTTACATAAAAATCTTTCAAAAGTTGGCACGATTTTTTTTAACGTTGTCCGATATAACCCGGAGTTTGGGGTATAATATCAGACGCTTTGATTTTTACGCTGAAAAAAGTACGTTTTGAGACTGGTATTTGATATAGAGGTTTGATCGAATCCCTTTATTGGACGATTACATGCGAAAAAAAAAACTGTTCATACATGGTACAGGGTGATGTAGAGGTAGTAAAAGTGAAAGTACTATCGTAAAAATGTAAGAACAACAAATAAAAAAGGAAAATGAAGTTCACATTTGATTAATAACAAATAAAAAAAAACTGAAAATATAAGTCGACTTTTATATCTCATTATATCATATCCGATATTACCCTTGAAAAACACATTTTTTGATAATTTCGATTTTTCAGGTGAAGAAAAGACGCAAAATGAACTTCGAGCCCATGGAGGTGTTGATATAAGGCTGAAACGCTGAAACAATAAATATAATTCCTATTGAAGTATATAGCTCACTTGATTTTTAGACGTCATTGGCTATGAAATGTGACCTCATCCAAAGATTTTAAACTCAATCTATAACCTACACTAATGAAAGTATTGAATAGGAATATTTCCAGATATATTTATGAACATGAAAATATATATATATATACATATAAAGATAAATAGATTGAGAATTCGCATTATCTCTATGTGATTCCTGGCTATATGCGACGACGAACATCGAATTATATATTTATTGAAAACTCACGAATATTAAACCTTATTCTGAAGTTGAGAATTTGCATTCTCCTTCAGATAAAAATATGAATGCACATGTATCATTCTGAATTTGTTTGCCACGTCGAACATTGAATAATACTCATGAAAATTCCCATTATAAAAGTCTTACCGATTTCGAGATATTTTTTTTTTCTGAAAATATCCACTACCAAAATTTTCAATTAAACTATTTCTCACAGCCCCCCTTCAAAATGTTCGGAGAATGTTTTTAATGTAAACGTTAAAATCATTCTTCAGCAATATTTACTGAAAAAATGAACCAAGAAGGTGTAAAATTGTACCAACCGTACAGACAAAAACTATTGAAAGGGGCAACATTTTATAATTTCAACAAAAAGAAAATATCTCGAAAACTTTTATAATGGGAATTTTGTCATAGCAGTTGATGAGTTTTTCTACGAGCCAATGAGTCCATAATGTATCATATATGTGATTCACTGTGACCAATCCGACAATAAGGTTTGGAAATGGTTTGAAAACTTTAGGATCTCGTTTACTAAGAAAGATTGAGCTTCCCTACAATGAGTTTTCTTATACTGGAGCCTAAATACTTTACAAAAATCTCCCCATTGATTTATTTATACTTCTCAAAAAGAACTAGACTAGATATTGTGGAAATAATTGATGTCTACCTTATAGAAGCAATTATTCAATTCGAAGTAATTAGTACAAAAACAACGGAAAACGGAAGGTACATAAGAAATTGGGTCACTTCCTAATATAATCAAACGATGCATTTCTCTGTACTTCCAAACTCCATGTGAACCTCCTTCTCTATTATGTTTTCCTAACGAGAAAACTCCCTGCATGGAGAAATTCCACGGAAACTCCCGGAAAGCTCCGGGAACTCCCATCACGCTTTGGCAGACTGCAATTTCCAAATGATGGTTGAATTACCAAGAATTGCCTCTGCTATAGAAAAACTAAGGTTCCCCACAATGAGGTTTCCCATACTAGCCCCATAAAATTATCTATCCTCCGCAATAAGAACTGGAATGTATTTTGTGGAAATTGATATCTAACTTATATAAAAAAACGGATGAGATTCAAAGAGAGATAGGTACGTTATGGATTTGGGCACTTCTGGAAATATAATCGAACAATTCATTTCTCTAAACTTCCAAACTCCATACGAGTCTCCTGCTCTATTATGTTTTCCTAACAAGAAAACTCCCTACATGGAGAAATTCCACGGAAACTCCCGGAAAGTTCTGCGAACTCCCACGCTTTGGCAGACTGCAATTCCTAAATGCTGGTTGAATTTCCAAGATATTCCACTTTTTATAGAAAAACCAAGGTAACCACAATGAGTTTTCCCATACTAGCCCCATCAAATTATTTATGCTTCGCAAGAAAACCTGGACTGTATCTTGTGGAAATTGATATCTAACTTATATACTAATAATAATAATAATAATAATAATGTTTATTTGCAGATATAAGAATAACAAAAGCATACATTGACAGATAATAATATAATGATTTAATAAATGATTTGAGAAACGTGTATTATTTAGGTTCACAAAATTCAAGTTTCGCAAATAAACTAGACGAATCCCACAAAAATTACTGTACGTGGGATGAGTGTTCATTTATTCTTGAAAATCAAGTTTCATTTCCTATTAATAAGTTTGAATTTGCAACATTCCATATGATGGTTCCATTAATAAATTTATTTTCAATTTTCTATGAGTCGGGTGAAGTCTTTTCTGTCTTTGTTTTTCATGTACTGTTTCAATTTGTTTTTGAACATAGATTGCAAAGCAAATCTTCAATATGAAATATTCAATGCCTACGAAAACAACGGAAGAGATACAAAGAAAGATAAGTACGTTATGGATTTGGGCACTTTTAAAAATATAATCGAACGATCCATTTCTCTAAACTTCCAAACTCCATGTGAACCTCCTGCTCTATCATGTTTTCCTAACGAGAAAACTCCCTGCATGGAGAAATTTCATGGAAACTCCCGGAAAGTTCTGCAAACTTCCACTTTGACAGACTGCAATTTCCAAATGATGGTTGAATTGCCAAGAAATGCCTCTGTTATAGAAAAACTAAGGTCCCAGCAATGAGTTTTTGAGAGAGAATGGAAAAGCGTATTTCCATGAGTGCATAATTACTTTACAACACACATTACGTACTATACTTCACCTACTGTCATAAAGTACATCAAAAAAGTTTGGACAAATAGTCTGAATTATAATTCTTGACAGTTATGTCATCCGCTGTTGACGTCGATTACGCGATCATGACATACTATACTGGCGGAATAAAAGTAAACTGTGCGATGTGCTTACTGTGCGTAAATAGCTACTTACTGGGGCTGTATCTCATGCGTTCTTGCATACTTTCCATAGTGGCCGTAGGTAATAGTACGTAATGCGTGGTGTACATACAGACACCTTCTCCACTCACACCAAGTTCTTAGGAACCAGAATTGACCACTGTTTATGTTGGGACCTCCAAATAGACCATGTATGCAAAAAACTTCATAGTGCCTATTTTGCTATTCGACAGTTGAAAAACTTGTTCACTATAAAACACCTGACAAATGTTTACTATGCACTGGCCACTGGCATATTCCCACTTATCATTCAATGATATTGCTTGGGGAGCAGCAACACGAGTAAATCGAGTATTTGTGTTACAAAAAAGGTTGATAAGACTATTATTCGACCTGGGCTCGAGGGATTCTTGTCACACCTATTTTGTGAACAAGCGCATCCTAACTATTCATTGCATATATATTTATAGCACAATAAAATACATTAGGAAGAATATTGCATTTTTTCAAAAAACCATGGAAAATAAGATCTATAACACAAGACAAAATCACCTCCTGTTTAATCTTCTTATATTGATATAAAAAGTCTCCAATGTACATGAAACTTTTATTAATTAATTCTAAAAATTATGACAATCCTTCATCCGCCTTCATCCATAACCATGGATACTACACGTTACAAAACCATATACATAACGAACAATCAAACTATAATATATAACATTCCCCCTCACAAGTATCAATTCAAATCGTAATCTTTGAATCTATATGGCAATTTAGGAATACGACTTGAACTTCTAACACCCGACAATGATTGTTCGGGTTTAGGCAAATCAGAAGGATAGTTATTCTCAAGATCAGTTATACAAGCAGAAGAGTTGTTATTGCAATTTACTAGAGGCTCATCATCAGAAACTGACCTCAGGAATTTTCTATTCCTCCTTAGTTCTCCATCCCCTGTATCTACAATATATGATCGAGGTGCAGAATGTTTCTCCTTTATTCTTCCTCTTTGCCAAGTCTTTCCATTTCTAAGATAAACATCATCTCCTTCACTAAGTGACTGCATATCTTTAGCACTTCTATTGTAATATTTCTGTTGTATTTTCTGCATTTGTTCTTTCTTCTCTTTTATCCCTTCAACAAGATCAGGTTCCAAATTACTTTCCAAATTGGGTAATTTAGTTCTGAGCATACGGTTGAACAAAATTTGAGCTGGTGACTTTTCTAAATATTTCAGTGGAGTATTTCTATATTCCATCAACATAGTATAAATATCAGTTTTTTGTTCATAAGCCTTTTTGAATATAACCTTGGAAATTTGAACTGCACGTTCTGCAAAACCATTGGACTGTGGATATCTGGGACTACTCGTAGTTATTTTAATGTCCCATTCCTTAGCAAATAGACGGAACTCATAACTATCATATGGCATGTTATCAGATACCAATTCTTCAGGAACCCCATTTCGTGCAAAAATCTCCTTGAGCTGTGTAATTACACATAATGCAGTTTTGCCTTTCAACTCTTTAATTTCTAGCCAGTTTGAAAAATAATCGATGACAATAAGGTAGTTTATTCCGTTGAACTCAAAAATATCACTAGCTACCTTTTTCCATGCTCTATTAGGAATTTCATGGGAAATTAGTGTTTCTTTCTGATTATTCCTCTGGAATTTGTTACAAACTTCACAATTTGAAACTTCCCTCTCAATATCCTTAGTTATTCCTGGCCAGAACAAACATTGTCTCGCCCTCATTTTCATTTTTTCCATTCCTACATGACCTTCATGCAAATTTCGCAACATAGTCTTCCTAAGTGACAAAGGAACTATTAATTTATTTTCCAGGAATAGTAGATCATCAGCTACGGATAAAAATTTCTGTAGATTCCAATAAGAATCTGCAGGACACCTCACATCTTGCTTATACCTAGGCCAGCCATTTATATGATAGCTAACTACCTGTTGTAAAACAGGATCTTGGCGAGTTTCCATTTGAAAATTTGCTTTCCTATCGTCTGTAATTGCTAAATGTTTTGAAACTGAGTGTACTACATTTTCGAGATCGGGGTCGTCATCTACAGGATCCTTGAGAAATGCCCTAGATAAAGTATCGGCGATAAACATCGTTTTACCTGGAGTATAAATTATTTTCAAATCATATTTCAATAATTTCAAAATCATTCTCTGTAATCTACTAGTGGCTTTAGAAATATCATTTTTCAAAATAGTTTCCAATGATTTATGATCAGTTTGAACAGTTATCTTCTTTCCATAGACATATTGATGAAACTTTTCCAAACCATAAACAATGCTCAGCAATTCTTTTTCTATTTGCGCATAATTTTTTTCACATGCTGTCAACGATCTTGAGGAGTAAGCTATAGGCTGAGAACTTTGTAGAAGACACACACCCAACCCGTCTTTGCTAGCAACCAACAAAACTCAACCTCATTTCTCAACAGATTGCGCAAAGGTGCATTCAACTTTGAATAATTGGGTATAAATTTAGAAAGATAATTTACTGTACCCAAAAATCTCCTCAAATCTTCTTTATTTTTAGGTTCATCCATCTCAGATACTGCTCTTATTTTCTCAGGGTCCGGTTTAAATCCTTCTGCACTTATTATATTTCCAATAAACTTTACTGATCCAACTCGGTATTGAAACTTATCTCTATTGAAAGTAACATTATTCATCTTTGCAGTCTCCATAACTACTCTTAAAATTCTATCATGTTCCTCAATGGTTTCTCCAGCAATAATCAAATCATCAAATACATTTAAAACACCTTGTATCCCTCCGAAAATATTTCTAATTTTTTTCTGAAATACCTCTGGAGCTGATTTGATTCCAAAAGGCATTCTCAAGAACTTGTATCTTCCGAAAGGTGTGTTGAATACACATAAATCTGAACTAGACTTATCCAATTGTATTTGCCAAAATCCAGAACTCATATCTATGACAGAGAAAAACTTCTTACCATTCATAACTGCTACTATATCCTCCTGAGTAGGTATTGAAAAATGCTGCCTTTTTATAGCCCTATTGAGGTCTTTGGGATCTAAACAAAGTCTAAGTGAGCCATTTTTTTTCTCAACGATAACTAAACTGTTCACCCAATCAGTGGCATAGTCAACCTTCATTATGACCCCGATACTTTCGAGCTCATCTAATGTTTCTTTCAACTTTGGCTGCAGAGAAAATGGAACTCTTCTGCAAGCATGAATAACTGGTTCAACTCTATCATCAATTTCAATGTGATACTCACCATCTATTTTGCCTAAACCAGTGAAGACAGACTCATTATCAAGAATTACCTGTTCTTTTTCAGTTTTAACCTGTAGACTATCGATTCTCTTAAGAATATTCAATCTAATACAACCAGATAAACCTAAAATTGGCTGAGACTCAATACTTGTCACCAAGAATTCTAAATTGATATTCGTATTACACATCAATGAAATTTTACCTAATGCTTGAGTTTTGAAATTTCCGAAACTCACCAAAATTGCCTTAGTTGAACCTAGCTCTAGTTCTGAATTGCCTTGTTTCAGTTTTCTAAAGATACTCTCGGGTATTATATTGACCTCACTACCAGTATCAAGCTTAAAATTGATTAGAAATTGATCAATCAAAATGTCAGCATACCAAGCCCTACATATCTCATGGATAACGATTTCAGATATTAAAAATTCTTTATCATTGTCATCATTACTAACTTCAATTTCTTTTACCTTTCTCATGTTATTATCACTCGACTTTGGAAATTTTCGCTGACAACAATACTCAAAGTGATTTCTACCTTGACAAAAATTACAAATTTTTCCAAACGCAGGACAATTCCTAAACTCATGAAACCTATTACATCTATAACACTGGTTATTCTGATCAAAATTCGCTTGGCGCTGGAAAACTCCACGTGGTCTCCATTGTCCCAATCTCTTGACTTCTTCAACGTTCGGCTTGTCTGGTGATAGTCCCCATTTTCCCATTTTCTTGATCTCTTCAACTTTCTGGTGATCCTGTAATACTCTGGACTGCTTTTCACTTAGTTCTTGAATAACACAGATATCTATCGCTTCTGTCAATGAAATGTCATTAGTCTTTAGTAACATCTTCTGGGTTCTCTTATCCCAAATTCCGCTAACTATCCTATCTCGTATTAGACTATCTTTCAAGGATTGGAACTCACAAGTTGCAGCCTTTGTTTTCAAACTCAATAGAAAAGATTCAAAGGGCTCACCTTCATGTTGTTCAACAGCAAAGAAATTGAATCTTTCAATTGTTAGATTTCTCTTTGGAACAAAATATTCCTCGAACTTTTCCAGAATAATACTGAATTTGTCTTCATCCTCTTTGTTCACATATTCGAACGTATCTTTTACTTCAATAGCATCCTCTCCGATCAAATTCAGTAATATATTGATTTTCCTTTTATCTGGAGCAGAGTCCAGTCCTGCAGCACTCATATATATTTCGAAACAACTTCTCCATCTCAACCATTCCAATCCGTTGTTGCCCTTCATCCTCAACTGGGGTGGCTTATTGAAATTATCTGTCATTGTGACTTCGTTACAATTACGATAAGTACTACTTTATACTCTTCCTCGTTTCACTCTTCGGAAAAATCCATTTTAATCGCTGCCACCATGTTTAATCTTCTTATATTGATATAAAAAGTCTCCAATGTACATGAAACTTTTATTAATTAATTCTAAAAATTATGACAATCCTTCATCCGCCTTCATCCATAACCATGGATACTACACGTTACAAAACCATATACATAACGAACAATCAAACTATAATATATAACACCTCCTGAAAACAGAACACCACTCCACGTCATTGTATGAAAAAACTCCACACCATGCTGGTATTACTCTTCATAACAAGTTACCTGTGAACATTAAAAATGTTGAAACCTGCAGCAAATTCAATCAAGAAGTGAAAGCGTTCCTTATCGAAAATGCGTTTTATTCTATAGAAGAATATATGAATAGGTAAATCCCCATCAATGTTAGCGATAAAATGTTAGTAATAATCTGTTATACATGTGTCGTGTTTAAAAATGTTATGTCACTTGCATCTTGCATCCATGTTAGT